TTATTTTTTTTTATAAATTGTATTTAAAAAAAATTATATTTATCTAAATTATTTTTGTTATTATTAATTTTGTTTATAATGATGTAATTTCTATTAACTTCCAACGCGTATTCTGAAAATCTATACAAACAAAACAAGATTTAAGAAATGTGTTAATTTACCCAGAAAGTAGAAATGACACACACACACACACACACACACACGCGCACAGAGACACACACGCACAGAGACACACACGCGCGCGCACAGAGACACACGCGCGCGCACAGAGACACACACGCACACACAGACACACGCGCACACACAGACACACGCGCACACAGACACACGCGCACACACAGACACACGCACACACACAGACACACGCACACACAGACACAGACACACGCACACACAGAGACACACGCACGCACGCACAGAGACACACATGCATGCACAGAGACAGAGACACACACACACACACACGCACACACGCAGAGACACACGCACGCAGAGACACACGCACGCACAGAGACAGACACACACACAGAGACAGACACACACACACACAGAGACAGACACACAGACACACACACAGAGACACACACACACAGAGACAGACACAGAGACACACACACACAGAGACAGACACACACACACACAGAGACACACACACAGACACAGAGACACACACACACACACACACACACACACAGACACACACACACACACACACACACACACACACACACAGAGACACACACAGAGACACACACAGAGACACACACACCCACACACACAGACACAGAGACACACACACCCACACACTTTCTCTGATGGTCTGGTGTTTTATAGGCCGACCGTACACACACTTAGCGAGGAGGCTCTCGGTCACTGATGCATTCTGGGAAAAACAGATTACGGAGACAGACACGGAGCTCGGCGGGTTCCCACGGCGACGGGGCTCTCGGTGACATTAACAGCTTTGCGGTGAATTATTGGCGAAGCGGCTAACGAGGAACGTCCGTTTGTCTCGTCGTGAAGAGACACTCGACTTCACATGAAGACAGTAAGAGTAGAGCTGAAAGAGCTGAATCATTGAGGGAACGATGCTCCTTCCACCAAAGAACATGAAGACGCATTCAAATAAATAGTAATCATTAACACACAGAAAGAAGCACAGGAAGCTAACGCTGTGAGAGAGCCAGGAGAGGAATAAACCTTTAGTGCTCTTTAGTGATCTCTTCTGAAGGAAATAAGTATATTTACATTTGAACCTTCAAAGAGTGCGACGATGATTTAGCACCAACAATATCAATGCAGCAGAACTACAGATACCGTCTTCTTCCTCATCTATAACCTACATCACCCACAATGCAACTTGAGATTCAGGTGTGCCATGCTGTGTTCACAATGTTAGCTTAGCATAGCACCGATCGATCCAGACTCCGTTCAGAACACAAGTATTTTAACAGTTCTTTGCTTGTCGTCTTGAGGAGAGAACTAACAAAACATGAATTCAGACTTTTTACAAATCTGCATCATTATGAAGTTATTTCAGCTTCTTTTTCATCTGTTTGTTGTGATTAAATCTCAGCTGAACCCGTGTATTCTGGGTTCATAGTAGTGAACCAGACAACGTGTGTCTTGATAGACACAGTTATGAACCAGACAACACGGCGATCGTTTGTATTTATATTATTAAAGTTTGGTGTGAACACATCATGCTAGTTAGCAGCTAATGTAGCCCGGAGCCGCTAGCCTGCAGCAGAGACGAGCACCTTCTTACCCAACTCCACCTCCAGATCATTGTTGTTGCATTTAGTGTAGTCTTCAGACTCAAGTGACATCACATGAGTCGTCTCAAAGACGCTAAGGTTCATGGGTATTAAAAAGCCGGCAAACCAAACTGGCAGAAGGAAACTAAAAAGGGGAAACGTTTGCTCAGAAGGCCAAAACACAACAAAACAAAGAGATAAATGTATCTTTAAAGGTCGGCTCACCTTTCCCTTCTTGAGAGGTTCGATGCTGAGGCTGTCGGCTCCGATGTCCACGATGGTTCCCAGCTGGAACCCGTCCGCCGGGTGGGGCGCCCACACCGGCTTCCCGTCCTCCATCGCTCCGCTCTGACGACTCTGGAAAAACAAGCCGAGCAGTCAGAGGAAAAGCTGCAGTGTGTTCTGCATTTCATGTGAAACTTTATTAAAGTTCAAGAAAGTTACAGCATTTCTCTCCCTGAAAAAGTCCTGTTAAGTCATATGGATAATAAAAGATGATGCTAACTGCCACAAGCAGACGTTTACATGTCGGATTAACTTGTCTACATGTTACGCGGTCGCTTCAGTTTGGAGATGAATTATTGAAAATCTAAATAACGGGAGCGCTCGTCAAACTGCATCGACTCTCTCGTGATGTTTGGCTCTGAGCTCTCTGGGGCTTCGTGGAAGCCAACAAACCAATTACAGTGTTATTGAGTGAAACCAGCAGCTGATGGTCTGTTGTGGTGCTGAAGCTGGTCCCTCAGCTGATGGTCTGTTGTGGTGTTGAAGCTGGTCCCTCAGGGACGAGCTCCGATACTCACAGCCGAGAATAAACTGAACCAGCCAAGTGTTGCTGCTTTGTAATCGTCTCATTTGGGAGACAGTCTAGCCAGCTCTTGTTCTGTAATCAGTGCTGCATTACAATCAAACGTTATTAAATATTAACGCGTTTAAACGCCTGGCTAGTTAGCTAGCTAGCTTTGCCTGTTCCACCATGTTTTCATGCAATAATGACAGAACATAAAGAGCAACATATAAACCGCTGGGCGTGGTCGACGCACCCTTATACAACGGTTCGTACGTTGGTTGTTAAACTAATGTACCGTCTTTGTCTCATTTTCCGACACGTTAACGGTGTTTTAATGAGAGTATTTATGTCATTTGTAACAGTTTGCGTCTGATAATCTCTGATCGAGCTTCAACTAGTTCATGAGATTCAGAAAGGTTCACAAACTCAGTCCGTGACCTCGACGTTTTCTCGCTTCACTGTGGTGAGAATGAACTCGGCTTGAGGCCTGAATGTAGAGGAAAGGTTGCTGGTAACTCATTGTCAGGGCCGTAAAACGTGAACAAAGCACCAGACTGCATTTCACTTTGTGATATCTAATGAGAAGAGCTCCGGACAGACGGTACCCGACCCCCAGCCATGGAGGCTAAACTCTGTCCTCCCTCAGAAGGAAGCTGCTCTGACGAATAGATAAGTGAGGATACGAGATCACTGTCTATCACATCTATCACATCTATCACTATCTATCACATCTATCACATCTATCGCATCTATCACTATCTATCACTATCTATCACATCTATCACATCTATCAGTATCTATCGCATCTATCACATCTATCACATCTATCAGTATCTATCACATCTATCACTATCACATCTATCAGTATCTATCACTATCTATCAGTATCTATCACTATCTATCACATCTATC